GAGAGACAGATGGGTCAGTGGACTGCTCCAGCTCGGTCTGCAAGCCACTGACAAACTGCTCTGTGTACAGAGAGAGACAGATGGGTCAGTGGACTGCTCCAGCTCTGTCTGCAAACTTTCCCACACGTTGCGAACTCTGAGTGTGCAGCAACAACTCTCTTTACACTTTGCAGTGAAAACACAAGAGGAGACAAAGCGGAAACATGGCAGCAAACTACACAGAAAAAACCTCTGCAGCTGCTGGTGAGGCTATTTGGTGGGTTTCAGAACCAGAAGGGATCCCCAGAGGGAGACACGGGAGAGTTCTTGGTTCCAATCTTGCCCTTGGACCATGCTAGTTCCTTTAAGGCCTCTCATTCGGCCCAAGACGAGAAGGCAGTCTGATGAACGGGCTCAATGAGAGGAGCTGTGGTTGGGGCGACAGAGCAGAAGGCTGTGGTTTGAGTCACAATGGCACAGAAGCAGAAGTCAAGGCACTTTCTCACGGTCCAGAGCTCCCCCCTCCTCTCACCCCTGTTGCTATGACGGGCACGAGGTGAAAGGGTCACAGAGAGGCCGAGTCACTTTCAGAGTGCCACTTGTCTCACTTTGGCCCTTTTTTGCTCAGAAAAGAGGAGGAGAGGAGACGTTTTACAGGTTGTCCTTTTAAGAAAACCGGGGGCGTGGGAAAGAAGAGCGCAATCAGATCCCGCGAGAGAGAGGCAGAGAAAGAGAGAAGTGGGGGACAGAGGTGAAAAACTGAGAAGAGAGAGGCAGTGAGGCAGGTTGAGTCGCGAGGAGCTGGGCCCTGATGGAGCTGGCCAGCACGCAGGGTGGCATCTGCACCACATCAACAGAGAGAGGGGGAAGAAGCGAGGACAAACGCGCTTCACGAAAATAGCAGAGATTAAAAAAAGGACAGCGTGAGAGGCACAAAACTGATTTTCACACATAGTGGGAAATAACAGTTCTTCCTGAACACACCCTTAAATGCACACAAACTGCTATTGTTCCCACAGTTCGCTGAAGCCCAAGGCATCCACTCACACCAGAGCACGGGCATTCCCCTTCACAACCACAATCTGTCCCCCTCAACCTTGTCTGCATACTGTATCTGTAACACAGCAAGGCTCCCTGGACTAGCACTCCTGTGTGTAACACTGAGGGGGTGGCAGGCTGGCGTCCTGTGTGTGACCTGCGTTACTCTGAACCAGAGCGTGTGAACGGAGCTACACCGGCCTGCACACAACACATCATCAGTTTCAGTGCTCACTCACGCCAAGCCAGAGAAAGCGGGGTCAATCAGACTGCGCAGCATGGCCCTTAGGATGCACAAAGGAAAGCAGAGATGAGAGAGAGGAGGCAGAAGACCAACTGAAAGAAAGAAGAGAAAAGAGACAGGAGAGAGGAAAGAGAGGAGGCAGGATACAGGAGAGAAAGGAGACAGGAGAGAGAAGAGGCAGAAGACCAGAGAAATGAGACGGGACAGAGGAAAGAGAGGAGGCAGGATACAGGAGAGAACAAGGCAGAACAAACTCACAAACCAGGGCACTACACTCACACTTCTGGCAACACTGCTTGCTCAGCACCCAGCGCTACAAACAGGGTGCAGGAGCTCTGACTGCAGTAAGAACAGCAAACAGCACAGAGCACAGAGCAGCGCAGACACAGCTCCGTGACAACCCTGAGCTGTCAGAGCGCCTCCATGGAGCAGTGTGCTCACTCTCTTGCTCTTCGCTGTGCGTCAGGGAGCACGCTTTAAGGTCTATTCACTCTTGATAGAAGGTTCTAAAAAACCTTCAGTGCTGGATTTCATAAATACTGCAAAGGGAAATGACACACATTTTAACCATTATGTGTTTGTAACACAAGGCTAAAGTGCACTCATTTTGTTTCATGCTCATTCATATCAACATTTTCAGAGAGAAAAATGTAGCAAGGCAAGCAAAGAAAGGGCTTTTCTTAGACAATTGTCAATGCTTTAATCCATATCAGGATGGATTAATTATCTAATTGAAAGAGTTTTAATTCATATCTAGGGAGATTACAGTTATGTAAAGAAAGCAAGATAAGAGAATGATGACTTAACTGTACTTATAAAGTATATAAAGTATAGAGCCAATATATTTTTAATGAAAGTGCAGTAACAGAACGTTTCTGTACTATCAACGTAGTAGAGAGCTGTTCACAGCCTTGGGTTCAGAATTGTGAATTTACAAAAATCTACCAACTGTCTATTTATCTACAGAATGGGAAAGAAAACATTTTCTGAGAAAATGTGCTCCGTTATTGATTCACTGTTGATTTGTCTTGGGAGAAATGAAGTAGAACACAGCCAGAAGAGGTCAGTCTCCTCTGAGGGTGACTGGGTGGGATACAGCATGTACAGGAAGCCTTTGTGCCTGTCTATATATAACCATGCGTGTAAAACATACTCCCTGCTCACCCACAACTCTCTTCTCAACAGCTTTCCCATACAGCCACTTCTGTCCACACCGCAAT